TCTCTCTCTCTCTCTCTCTCTCTCTCTCTCTCTCTCTCTCTCACACACACACACACACACACACACACACACACACCCCTGCACATCCGTATGACACACACACACTGTGGTGGTTTGAAAGAAAATGGCCCCCAAACGGAGTGGCACTATTAATTAGGAGGTGCAGCTTTGTTGGTACAGTATATTTGTAGGTATGGCCTTTTTAGAGGAAATGTGTCACTGTGGAGGTGGACTCTAAGGTTTCCTATGCTCAGGGCACCACCCAGTGTCCAGTCAACTTCCTGTTGATGTAGAACTCTCAGCTACTTCTCCAGCACCACGTCTGCCTCCATGCCTCCATGTTCCCTGCCATGATGATAATGGACTGAACCTCTGAAATGCAAGTGGCCACTTCAATGAAATGTTCTTCTTTGTAAGAGCTGCCGTGGTCATGGTGTCTCTTCATGGCAATAGAAACCCTAAAACACACACAAACACACAAACACACACACACACACACACACACACACACACACACACACACACGTACGCACAAGCTCACTTAGGTCAAATATCATGCAATAAACTCCAATAAAGCTCAGATTATAAACCTTTTTCTACAATAATTTATTTTGTCTGATTAAAATTCAAAATTACTTATTAAATTTTTTCTTTACTAATTAAATGAAGAGAGTTTGGGATTTTTTTCTATTTTCTCATTTTCTCTTCTAGATTCTCCTAATTGACTTTTTTCTTCCTCTGATGAGTCTAAAAAAATTATCTGAGGAAACTCGCCATGAAGCAGTCCAACTCTATTCTACTGCAATGGCAGATACTACTCATGACCTGTGTGGCTAGCAGAAGGCCAAGGGCCTCTGGAGGTCTGTATGGACCCCAAGGAGACAGCCACCATGAAAATAACCTTGCTTTGTGAAGCGAGGCTGCCTGGCCAAAGGGGCATTATCAGAGGGTTAGAAAGCCATATGCAACTGCACATAATCATCTGAGCTGTAAGAAACATTTGAGAGGTACCAGACCCTGATGGCCAGCATGATAAACCTTCTGTGGACCTTGGATGTCAGAGACTGAGAAGCTCTGATAAATAAGCCAAGACCAAACAACTGGACTCAAAGGCAATCAGCATCCAATGTCGAGGAGATCAAAATGGAGCAAAATGAACGCAGAAGAGGGCCATGACATTGCCTTCAAATCTCTGCTCAACTGGTTTCATTTTTCTGTATAGGAGCTCGTTAGAAACAAGCACACATGCATTCCAAAGAGTGACTTCCACTCACAGTCACGCTCAACTGCAGGGGAGGCAGAGCAAGGGTGTGGAAGAGCAGCCAGGTCAGGGCTGTAGCTACACATGCTGGGCTGCTCTCACTTCCCCAAACCTCGCTTTTCTCATCTGTAAAATGCCAGTGAGAACAGAGCCAGCTCATCAATAGAAGACCCACAGGTACGAACCATGCCTGATATCTTACATTAGAAATGACAAAAAAGCAGGTAAAGGTAAATTTAATAATACACTTTATTTGGCCCTATTATCCAAAATAGTATCATTTCAAAATGCTAACCAATATAAAATTATAAGATTTCTAAAAATTCTTTCTTTCTTCCTTTTTGTGCTAAGACTCTGAAAATGTGTGCTTTAAACACACAATCCTGTTCCTTCAGACAAGCTACACTTCAAGGTCAACAGTCCCAGGTGGCTATTCATCACTATCCTGGGCATACCTAGCTTCCTGTGTGCTCACTAACTCCATACAGCATTTTCTGTCACACAGGCCCTGGGAGACACAGGAAAGGTATTTTTTTTTGTTTGTTTGTTTTTTGTTTTTTGTTTTTCAAGACAGGGTTTCTCTGTGTAGCTTTGCGCCTTTCCTGGAGCTCACTTGGTAGCCCAGGCTGGCCTCGAACTCACAGAGATCCGCCTGGCTCTGCCTCCCGAGTGCTGGGATTAAAGGCGTGTGCCACCACCGCCCGGCGGAAAGGTATTTTTAAAAATCAATGTATTAAAGAAATTTTACATTTTTGGTACTGTCTATGACATAATGCAATATATAAGAACTCAAAATACCTATAGTGACTATATCAATTATTTGTCCAAAATAAGAGTGACCAGGAATGATTAAGATAGGTCACTAGTACTCATTTATTCTATATTCACTTTTAAAGGTTTATTTTACACACACACACACACACACACACACACACACACCACTTCATGTCTGGTCCATATGGAGGCTAGAAGAGGGTGTTGGATCCCCTGAAACTGTAGTTATAGACAGTTGTGAGCTGCCATGTGGGTGCTGGGAATCGAACCTGAGACTTGTAGAAAAACAGCCAATGCTCTTCAACTGCACAGCCATCTATTCTACATTCACGTTTGTGGCTTCTTTATTAGCACCTGAATATGTTGGTTTGACACAGGACATAGTGTTTTGGTGTGTCTGAGCCAGACATCTGCTGTTAGGGTCTTCAGGGTTTCTCTGTGTACCCCTGGGTGTCCTGGAACTAGTGTCATTTTTTTCTAAGAAGCTGGCCACCTTGTTTTTTGAGACTGGCTCTCTGGCTTGGAGCTCACCACCTTATAAGCTAGGCTGACTGGCCAGTGAGCCCCAGGGAGCCTCCTGCCCCTGCTTCCTACGATTACACACACACACCTCTCCACCCAGCTTTTTCAGTGGGTTCTGGGGAATCAAACTCAGGTGATAATGTTCGCACAACACACACTTTACTAACTGAGACAGCTCCTTGGCCAAATATGATATACTTTAAAGAAAGAATATAAATTTTGACATAACTATAAGCACACAATGAATAAACAGCAACAAACCATTTTTTTAAAATATTGCAAAACCTTTCTTTTCATAGGGCATACTACTGGTAAGTCACGTTGCAGGTTTTTTTTTTTTCTTTCATTGTTGCAGTTTTAATAGCTCTTTTTTCTCATAAATATTTAAGGATTAGTCATTTATCATGACAACCTAATTACGTACAATTAAATATATCATCATATTTAATGTATTGTTACATTTAGTTTTGTTTGTCTGTTTTGCTTTGTTTTTCGAGACAGGGTTTCTCTGTGTAGTTTTGGTGCCTGTCCTGGATCTCATTCTGTAGACCAGGCTGGCCTCGAACTCACAGAGCTCTACCTGGCTCTGCTTCTCGAGTGCTGAGATTAAAGGCGTGCGCTACCACCACCCAGCTTGTTACATTTAGTTTTAAACTATTCATTGGGATTATCATTGAGTATTACTTGAATCACATTATTAAAATTTTGAGTAGTATACAGTAGGCAAGTTCTGTGTGTGTAAGGAAGTGTGTAGTGTATATGTGTGCACATGTGTTCAAGTGTGCTCACCAATGCAGGAGTGTACAGAGGCTAGAGGTTGATGTCAGGATGCCTTCCTCTACATTTCCACTTTTTTTTTTTTAATTTAAAGACAGGGTCTCTCACTGAACCTGCAGCTAACCATTTAGGCTAGACTGAATGGGCACAAGACCCAGGACCTGCCTGTCTCTGCCCCCCAGCACTGGGGCTACAGACACATATCACCACCCTGGACTAGTATTTGGATGCTAGGGATCCAGACTCAGGTCCCATGCGTGTAGAGTAAACACTTTAAATACCAAGCCATCTCCTCAGCCTCTTTTGTGTTTGTGTGTTGTATGCAAGTGTGTGTGTGTGCATGAATGTGCACATGCGCGTGCACATGCATATTTGTGTGAGGGTCAGAGGTTGACAATAGATGTCTTTTTGTCATTCTCCACTTTTTGTCACATTTATTTATTTGCTGGAGAGGGGGTAGCATGTGACACTGTGGTGTGTGTATGCGCGCGCGCTTGTGCGTGCGTGCGTGCGTGTGTGCGTGCGTGTGTGTGTGTGTGTGTGTGTGTGTGTGTGTCAGAGGACAACTTGTGGGGACTTGGTGAGCTCCTTCCACCTTTATGTGGATTCCAGGGATCAAACTTATGCTATCAGGCTTGGCAGCAAAGGTCTTTACCTGCTGAATCATTTTGTTGGCTGCCTTAGTTTTTGAGGCAGGATCTCTCACTGAACCTAAAGTTTCCAATCTCAGCTAGCCTAGCAGGCCAGCAAACTCTGGGGATCCACCTGACTATGCCTCCCAGCACTGGAATTACAAATATACACAGCCACCCCTGGCTTTGCAAGTGTGTGTGTGTGTGTGTGTGTGTGTGTGTGTGTGTGTGTGTGTGTGTGTATGCACATGCTAGAGTGTTGAACTCAGGTCCTCATGTTTCCAGCTCTTTACCAATTGAGCCATCTCCCTAGTATCAACTTCCTGTATCTTAAACTCAAAGAGTTGAAACCATTACTAGATTGCAAAGTCTCTTTGAAAGTTACCCACAAAGCCGAAGAGTAGGCGCATACTTACCTTCCAAGCAGTATGGTTGAGATGCCCTGAAGCTGACAGCTTCATTGGTCTCTCTCTAGTCTGACACAGGTATCAGATAAGACCCAAGGTTGAGATGAGGACAGAATTCTTTACAAGCAACTGCTACTTCATCTCAGGTCCATCAAGGACCATTCAGTTACCTACCACAATCTCACCAGTACAAATAGTTAAGAGACTCAAAAGAACAAAATTCCTTGGACTTGGACTTTTTAATGATTACATATTCAAAAATACAGACCCTCTTCCTTAATTCCTCTTCACCGTTCTTGGTCAGGGGTGACACACGAGGGAAAACTGCCACCTACCAAATTATTCATTCTGTGTTCAGTGACGCCACCCATGTGTCCCTCTCCTGACTCCTGACCAAGTACTCACCTCCCCCATTCCTGCTTAGGATTGAAGTCAATGACTGGTTCATTCTACAGGCAGAAGAGCTGCTCAAGACAGGGCTTAAGGAAACTCTCACTCGAACTTTTCTAAGAAAAAAGTCACTTCCAAGCTAATAAATGCTAACCCCCTAGCTGTTGATACTAAACACAGCTTTTAACATTTGGCTGGACTTCAGAAATATGACTACCACTGTATTGAGAGACTCACATGTGGCATTTCTGTAGAGAAGGAAAGGGTCCTGGAGCTGGAAGTCCAGGTCTTTAGTAATGGGTTCTGTTCTGTTTTCCATGCTGAGCCTATTCATAATGGTGAATCCGTGCTTTGGAGAGGCAGACCTGGAAATCACGGAGCAGGGGAAAGACATTGCTAAGCATAGCATACCTGCAGTATAGCCACATTCTGACGTGTCTGTTAACTTTGCTGTGTACATTGTTTCTCACAAGCAGTCTGCACACATAGGAAACACCACTGCTTTACTCTTGGGATCTCATACCAACATCGTGCACCACAGACTGTCCTTAAGGTCATTGTTTTTAACTGTACGTGAGGCTGTGCATAGTTTGTGTGTATATCTTATCTCCCTGCCTATGCTGTACATTCCTTTAAGACAAAGACGGTAATTGCTTTTAAAAATCTCACTGGCAGGGGCTGGAGGGTTGGCTCGGTGGTTAAGAGCACTTGATGGCTCCTCTAGAGGTTCTGAGTTCAATTCCCAGAAACCGTGTGGTGGCTCACAACATCTGTAATGGGATCTGATTCTCTCTTCTGGTGTGCATGAAGACAGAGCACTCAAATACATAAAATACACAAATAAGTAAGTCTTTAAAAAACCTAGATACTTTCAAAGGGTTTCAGAGTTAAAAGCACATACATCATTACAAAAAGATAATTTTCACTGAAAGTGTAAATGCTAGTTTGGAATTGAGAACTTCAGGAAAACAAGGCAACTCTGTCAAGGAACCTGTGAGACGAGGTACAAACTAAGGTCATGTAACAGCCTGCAGGGCGGACGCTGTGTTCTCTTCAATACAAAGCAAGCCGCTTCCTGGACAAGCTACTATAAAACTGCTCAGTGAAAAAGTGACCTTTAGTGAGTTTCATTTTTCATTCATTCAATAAACCTTGAATGCTCCATCTGTCAGGCACAGGGACCCATGTCATACACAGTGTAAACGAACAATCAGGTGTCCATTTGCCTGTGCTGAGGGGACAGCCATGTCATAATTCAACCAAGAAACTTCTGGTGACACCCAAGTACAACATCCCTGTTTAACAAAAGCAAGCAGCACTCATTCATTCAAGTTAAGCTAGGCTGCTGGGGTTAGCAGGAACAAACAGGAAGAAAATCAGTTTTATTTCTCTTTTAACTCCTTTATACTGATAAAGTACACATTGCTACTTTACCACTTACAGGATTGTATTTTTAAAGCCCCAACCCTTAAATTGATGGAAGGCAATCTTTGATGAGCTTGTTCTACAAAGAGATAAAGCACTGACAGGCATAGCCTCAATTCCCAAACAGTCATTTCTATTTAAACTTAAGAGGAGAGGAAAATGCACTCGGAAGACTGACAGAGGGTCCTGGACATGAAATTCAGAAATTCTAGTGACTGTGTCTCCATGAACTCTATTACAAAGAGGAAGACAGGGGGAGGCAGGAGAAATACTTCTTGATGCAGGATGAAATATCTTCTTGTATTTCAATAGCATAACATCTTATGGCATAAACGGTATGGGACTATAGCACAGTTTATTCAACAGGCCCAGAAACAAAGATGTCAGTGCACTAAAAACAGTTCTGAAAGAGAAGTACAGGTGTACCACAGACAGCTTCGTTAACTCAGCTCAAACTGCTGTCATTCCACACTGAGAAAAAGACCTCTCTAGACCAGGCACCATGCCTGTGTTGGAAGGAGAGGAAGCAGCAGAGGTTATCTCAATGAGATGGGTTGGGGGAACTGGATTAAGATTATTTTTCTCAGTTCATTGGTGTAACTTATCATTCCGTTAGCAGTGTGGAGTACATTAAGAAGTACTTAAGTGCTGGGTTGTAGTTCAGTTGGTATAGTAGTTGCCTAGCATGCTCAAAGCCCTGGATTCCATTTCCAGCATTACATAAAACTGGCACATGGCTGTAATTCAGAAGTTCAAAGTTATCTTTTGCTACATGGTTAGTTTGAAGCCAACCTGGTCTACATGAGACACCATCTCAAAAATAAAATACCCGAAAATACAAAGCTATATTTGGTTTGGGTACAAAAGAAAAAATAATTGTATAATTCAGCAGAAAGTCCTTAAAACCATCACTAATATATATTAATCTATCGCTCTCGTCAAAATAATCCTTCTCAGAAATGAGAAAGAATACACATTGTGCTTTAGTTTTTCTCTTTACATTTTACATTCTGGAGTACTCATGCTGAACAAATTTACTCTGTGCTTCTGGAATGTTCTGGAACATAACATGGACTAACATGCTAATACTCTTGGAGATTCAGACCCCCACATCTGACTGACTTGTAGCCTGCAGCCTGGCTAAGCCATTCATCCTTTGCACGCCCTCCCCTTTGGTGACAGGGCAGCTGACATCCTCCCCCACTGTTCTGTACTACGCCCCCACTGGCCTCTTAAGGCTATTCTAGTTCTGCTGTCTCTGGCCCTATAGGCCTTAAATTCAACCATCTATTGCATATCTATTTCCCTTTGATACTCCTCTTAGACAACGCCAGACTCTCCAAAGATGACCGAGTGCCAAGATTCCTTAACCTGAACTCACTGAGATCATTGCAAAAGTATTACTTCAAAACCTTGAAGACCAATGGCCTGGGTGTCGGGGGTGAACTTCACAAAGAGATCAAGTTGAAGGCCCCAGATTCTTGACCTCCCCCACCACCCGGGCTGCTGGAGTTCTACTAAAGATTTTGTCATTCAGTTCAATCACCGCCATTTACCTAGAGGCTTCATGTGTCAATGTCACCGTGCTCTCTAGCCATGCACTTCCATTTCAGCTTCAGTTCATCTGGTCCCAACTCCTAGCTACCTCATGGCAGTCATCCTCTAACATCCTGCCCAACTCCAGTTTCTTTCAGAAGTGCCTCCTCATGAGGCTGACACACTGACTCTCCACGCACTTTCTCACAGCTTATTAAGCATCCTCATGTTCACAAGCCTTCAGTTACTCCCTACTGCTGGAAAAATAAACTTCAGAATCCTTAGTCTGCCATTCTATGCTCATGGCATCACTTAGGCTAATATAAACCCTCTACCCAAGAATAGATCCCCACTGTCCCTTTAAACAGGAGGCGGTGTCTCTACTTTTGCCTTTCTTTCTGTTGGGACTTCCTGCCCTGAAGCCCAACCCAAGACCTGTCATTCTACAATGCTCCCACAATCACAGCAGCCCAGTGCGGCTTTTATAGCCACCAGTTCTTGGGGTGGTATAGCCTGAACTGTGTTTATCTTAAACTTGAATATGGGTAAATATGTTTGTATACTTTTTCCTCCAGTAAAGTTGTACCTTAATCAGGGTGTATACTAGTTTTGTATTTCATCTATGTACTCCCGCTAGGTGACAGAATTCAAGTAAGATACTTATGTGGAATTTGCATGAATAAAATGTAGTCATTAAGACAATATACATACTGTGTGTCTGCATGCATGTGTGATACTAATGGTATTGATAAAAAAGAAATTACTAAAAGCATGAGCTTATTAATGAAATTAATCCTGAAACATTATTAACTAGACAATGGAAGACTGAGAGACAGATTCGAGCCCCGGCATGCTTTTTTAAGCAGTTAAGGGTGAGGGAAGGTGAGCCACAAAGCTCTTTCCAGCCAGCTTAATTTAGCTAACAGTGGACCTCTAATCTCTTGGCAGCGCATAGTGTTCACAAACTGTGTGCATTCACTGGAATCAGACGATGGATATGTACCGCTAAACCAAATATTAAGATTTATGTTGGAAATATATCCTGAAATTAGTACCATCAGAATGTACCAGGTCACATTATGTGTTATTTTATTCCTCTTGCCAACTAGTAATTTCAGATAGATTTGGCTGTTGTACTTCTTTGAAATAAAACTGCCCTTTAATACATGACAAAACTAAGCTAAAACATTATTTCAAAAATTGTTTTTTTAATAAAATATTCTTACCTTGTATAAACAAATAAGGTTCCTTCCACATCAGTCTTCTCCTAAAAATAAAGAAAACACATACCATATGTATGCTCTCTTCATTCTATGGCAGAAAACATGAACTTCTTACAGCATACCAGGAAACCACACGCAATTTCAAGTAGGCGAAGTGCCAGGACAGAACAGAGGGGCTACCAGGAAGGGGAAGGCATGGGTTTGACATGACCAGGGCCTGCTGAGTGAGCAGCACTTGGTCACTATTCTCTTTCCCAAACACACACTGAGTGGCCCACCTGGCTGGATCGGAGAAAGTGCGCTTCAGACTTCATCAGAAGGAGATGGTAAGTGTGTAGCCTTCTCCTCCATCCACCTAATCGCAAGCTGTCAAATTAACTGTTACCTGCACCTCATTACCCTTCACTTCATCTTGTGTTCATTGTCATATTGTGTCACTAGGAGACCAGATGACCTGTCAATACCTGTGCTCTGACTGCTAGACAGAAAAGGGTTATGCTAGAGTCTTCAAGTGAACAAACACCTTCTTGGCATGAAATATGCAGAGTCACTTTGGCCAAAGACTTGAAATAACATTACACAGAAATATTACCAAGTTAGGACTCAAGAACTGCCAGAGAAAATCTGAGGGAGGGAGTCAAGTTATAGGGAGAGCTTGAGTTCTTTGGCATCCCTTCCACATCTCCAAGACAGGGGGGATCCTGCTCATCCACACAATGCACACGCAGTTCTTCTGTTTAACTAGTAATCAGATTATTGTAACTCAGAATTTAATATGTGCTTTTGGTATTTACATCACTTAATTTCAGCATTCTAGTATCCTACTTAAGGCCCCAATATTTTATAATATTTATTACTGAAATTATTTAAAATTAAGTACTGTATAATTTGGATGCAAGATATACACTTTAAGAAAAAGTTGTAACACTAGAATGATGTTTTTTAAAGGTACAGAGTTGAAAAGTAATCTGCCTGAGTACAGCTGTTTTCTCAGAGACTTAGTGCAGTGGGTTTTGAAGAGTGGTCTCCAGATGAGAAGCAGCATCGTCACCTGGGAGCCCTTAGAAATGCACATTCTTGGGCCTCTGCGCAAAGCCCTTCAGAGCTGAACGGGCACAGCTGGCAGCTGCTCAGGTACTCGACAACACTTTAAAAGGAGCTGTCCAAGTCAAGCATCTGGTCCTACGAGTTACACTGATGGGAACTGAAGCAGAGACGTGCAGGGACCTCTGTGCACACACCGCCAGGCTCCTTGGCTAGAAACAGTTTCCTACTCTGCCGTATTTGACCTGGGCCTGTTCTCTTTGGAATGCAAATCAGATCTTTTATATTATCAGCACACATACGCTAATTGCTTCCAACTGATTTCTTTTTTGCTCGCAACAAAAATTTTCTTTACTTCAAAAACAAAAAAAACTTTAATCCCTTTATTTTAGTTTAGAATAATCCAAAATCAGAATTGTAGCTATAACTCACAAAAACAGTTCTCAAACTTGAGTTGTGTTTGGAGTTGCTCATGGGAAGGAACTAGGGCTCAGTGATTACAATATGAGCCAGGAGTGAGGTTTCTGCCAGCTCACACTGAGATAATTCACTGACTTTCCTGTCTCACCCTTAACTCAAATCTTTCAATTAAAACAAAACAAAACATTTTAAGAGCTCTCACTTGGCTAAAAGGAGCTCTGGAAAGGTATTTGCTGCTGGAGCTGTGCTGGCTCAAACTGTTTGTTTGTTTTTTAACTTTCTGTACAAAGCAGTGAAATTAGGGTATGGCAAAGAGTAAAACAGGAGCTCTCCTCAAATCCTCCAAGTAAAA